AACTTGTTATAATTTTGTTCTTTCTAGATACTAGGCGGTCCGTAATAAAGTGCCTCATCGGTGGGCGGGAGTTCAAGGTAATGTTGAAGCTCTTTGGAGTCTAGAAATAGGGTTATTAGCTTTTTGAATCTGGTAAACGTATCACAGTTACGGATAGGCATTGGCAGCCTGTTCCACAATAAACTGTACCGTACTGTAAAGAACTTACAACGCATTTGTTTTTGGTGTTTTACGGTAAGTAGTGTATATGCGTTGTTTCTAAGTCTATAGGCTGGGTCGTGGGTGATAGTCGGGCAGGAGGTTAGAAAGGAGAGCCCATATATCGCTTTGTAGAGAAATATTAAATTGTGTTTTAGCCTACGGTGCCATAAAGGTTCTAAAGATAGATGCTTACATCTGTCTGTGTAATCGAGATTCGAGTTACATCCCAGTAGTTGACGTGTGAAACGTCTTTGAACATCTTCTACTCTTATCTTGTCTGCGATATTCATATTAGAGAAGACAAAAGAGCAGTATTCAAGGGTGGGTCGTACACATATTTTGTAGAGAGTAAGTTTACCCTCTGTTGTGAAAAAGTTTTTCATTATAAAACCAATTAGCCGTCTAGATTTAGAAATAATCGAGGAGGCATGTTCTTCAAAGTTCAGGCTTCCTGTGTAATTGATTCCTAAATCGTGTACTGATTCGAGTCTTTGGACTCTACTTTTATTTAAGTGAAGTTCCGGTTTATAGGGATGCTTTCCAAAGTGCATGATCCCGCACTTGTTGAGGTTAAATGGTGATTGCCATTTTTCACTCCATATAGTTAAGTTATTGAGATCCTTTTGGATCTGGGATACACTTTCGCTTAGTTTCTCAGGCTTATAGCTGTATACTATTTTGAGATCATCAGCATATAAGTATGGTTTCCCAAATTCTATGGTGCTACATATATCGTTTATCTACATAAGAAACAAAAGTGGACCTAATACTCTTCCCTGGATGACTCCACTGGTGATTGGTCTAGGGGACGAGAGACAGTCATTGCACTTTACCATCTGTTTACGTTCTGTTAAGAACGAAGCAAACCATGAGTACAGTGGGTTGTGTATTCCGAAGGACTTTAGTTTGACGAGTAGCCTTTTGTGTGGGACCTTATCAAAGGCTTTCTTAAAGTCTAGGAATAGGACTGATACAAGGAGTCCGCTGTCTCGTTTCAAAGTTATATCATTCAGGTAGTCTACTAGGCATGTATCGCATGATCTGGACCTAAGAAATCCATGCTGGGAGGTCGACAAGAGATTGTTAGTTAATAGATGTTGGACTACAGCCGCCTTAACTACTTTTTCCATCACTCTGGATACCACTGAAGTTATGTTTATAGGCCGGTAATTTTCAACGTTTGCTTCAGGTCCTGTTTTAATTTTGGGAATGATATGTGTAGTTTTCCAGGCAGTAGGGTAACACTTGTTTATGAAGTTTATATTTTGAAATCGAAATAATGCTATATTACTACTATGTGGCTTCGATGTTTCTACTCTGCTCTTGGCTAGTAATTACAAACTGGATACAGACACTAGGGCTTGGTGGCACAATTTGACCTGTCCAAAATTGCAGCTTAGCGTATTTGATAGAGACCAAATGCATAAGCCTCAAGCCTATATTGCATTTTCACCAACTGATGGCTATGAGTTGGCAATCTATTAGTATCGAATCACATTAAGCAAAAGCTTCTTCTGTTCCGTTCGCAACCATTCGGACCACTTTAACATAAGAAAGGGTGATGTAGCTGTAAACAAATGCCCGAAATCAACACTTCTGTAATCTTTGACACTGGATTCTGACCACATTAGTTTTAATTGAATCAATTAGCTGAAGACGCTAGGTCATGCATCGGCACCAGATTGCGAGTGAGAACGCCGTTCTCACCCCCCCCTGCAATCACTAGCCAGTTTAGATCAGTTGATTCTTGATATATTGATAGCCTATCCAATATATCTTCGAACCTCCTCGCTTCTGACCTTTGATTTCACTAGATGGGCAGGATTCATATCAGAAGATGTTATTGGTTAAACCGTTGTCAAACTTCAAATACTTAAAGCATATCCCAGACTCCGGCTAATGAGGATAACTTTCCTATCCTCCCACATGACGGCTGCAACTCGAAGCATTTCGTACCGACAGACGTCGGTTGCCGACTGGAATCCATATGCATCCGTATAGGCTATATGACGCTAGGATCAAGCACAAAATCAAGTTGGAGCTGACCATTCCACTTGCAGACTGTATTGATCATAATAAAACGTGTAAATGACGCGGGCTGTCAACTCGGAAAACCTTGTGTAGGTAGGGTACCTGTCCATTCACGTAAGGCTCATACAAACAAACAGGAAGGGGAATCTCACGCGTTCCAAATCGAAAACATAAACTGCCTGTACATGAACGCCGCGAGTTTACCAAATAAAATGGATGAGGTACGTGGACTCAGCAACGCTAATAATACTCATCTGATAGGAATATCTGAAAATTGGATATCTTCTCAATTTACGGACCAGGAACTAGCAATACCCAGGATGTCTTTGTTTCGCAATGACAGAAAAACCGAATCCGGGATGGAGTAGCCTTATACTTACGATCATGCCTGGATGTACATCAAGTGCACAGCCAAGAGTTTGTAACAGCTTAGGTTGATTGGTTAAGAGTTCACCCCAAACAACTAAGCATATGTCAAAACAGTATAGTTCAAGTATTCATTCACTTCCTTATTTTGTATAGGCGCTATATTTCCTATTATCTTATATTGAATGTTGAGAGGTCTTGTTTGTCTGAACAAATAATCTCACGCTCCACTGTGACTGCGCGAATATCTAAATAAAGACCTATTCACTACGTGTCTGGTTTCTTCTATCAATAGCACGAGGGTTACATAGAGGCACGAAAAGTTTATGAATCCGTATGGTGCTCAGTAGGATTGTCTACCACCTCTAGGTGTCTAGTTGGAGTCATCTACAGGAAGCCTACCGCTAACATCGAGTACGACAATCTTATACTGGAAGGATTACCCCGCTCTACGTGTCTCGGATTCACTCATATCCTGATTCTAGAGGACTTTAATCTTCCTACAGTAAATTTCGCGGAACATACGTATATTAGAGATGAAAACTCAACTGAAGCTTTGTTCATCGACTTCATTGAAAATTTGGGATTATTCGAAATTGTGAATTTGGCAACTCGTTGAAGAAACAGTCAGACGCCGTCGCACTTAGACTGGATATTTACAAAGGAAGAATTCCTAGTTGACAACCTCTCAATCGTGGTTCCCCTGAGGAAAATCGATCACGCCGTCATAGCTTTCAGTTTTATCAGCAAAACTGAGCTAAGACATCCCACCAACAACAGGCGCTGGAATTTCAAACGTTGAATGTGTCAGCTTAACAGGACTATTTACAAAAGGTGGATTGGGATGTTCACCCTCAACATGATGTGAATGTTGATTGGGATTTCTTACTGCACACGCTCTTATGTACTACAAAGTAGTCTGTTCCTCAAATGGTTCCCAAAATCTACAACATAAGAAACTCCTCTCTAGTAGTATCCCGAGTCGAAAAAGATGTGGGAGTACTGGTGCCGTACGATTTAAAGCCTTACGCTAACTGCTACACAAATGCCTTTCGAGCAAACCTTGTACTGGTTGTGTTAGAGAGCATTTTCGGCCAGTCCGATGGAAGAACTTTCCACATACTTTCCAACAGTTCTATTCGTCCGCATTTAGAGTACGGAAACAGTATTTTCTCCCTCACTCCTAAAGGATAAGGACACTCTAGAGGGTATCCAAAGGTGAGCCACGAAGCCAGTTCAGGGACTCAAATTCAAGCCTTATGAAGAGCGCATCCAATCACTAAACCTTTAACCATTAGACTGTAGGCGCTTTACAGGTGGCCTTCTGATGGCTTACAGTATCCTTGACACTTCTGGACATTCCCTTAAACACCTACTTAAGCTTAGTTCCAACACTAACCTAAGAGGTAACACCCAAAAACTGGAGACATAACATAGCAGAACGGACTGTAGACACAACTTCTACTCTCTAAGAGTTGTCAAATTCTGGAATTCGCTGCCATCCGAGCTAGTCCAAGCGACTTCTCATGGGTCTGATAATGTCACAGGTATTCAGTGTTTGACAACGCTTCTACCAGTAACACCTTCTAATATATTTCGTTCCCACCCAGAGAAATCAAAAGACAGAGTCGAGGAGATCGGAAGAGTATATTTGGCGATGACCAATATATCGGAATTCTGTGATCTAATCTGGCTAGCGATTGCGGTTGACGTTGAGCACGGCGTTACCACACGTGATCTGGTGCGGATGCCTGACCGAGCGCCTTCAGCTAGATGAGTCCACTAAAACATATGGTCAGCATCCAATGTCGAAAACTTAGAGCTATTTATTTTGGGGATTTATTTACCGCTACAGGTCCTTTAGGAGGTAACTTGATCTATTCTAAAGGACTAAGAATAACATCCTATTATGATCTACCAACTTCTGTTTTTCCTCTTTTATCGTTAGTATACCTAGGTTGCTGCCTGGAGATATTGGTGATCCCCTGCTACTGCACACGGAAGCCTGTTAAGTGAGAGCTTCTTCGATTCCATCCACGACCATTTTTAGAAGTGGTATGGTTTTGATCTAATGAATACTAGAGCATGATTTAAATAATCTAAATTTGAACCTGACATATCATCTACTTTTCTTCCTATCAGATCAGAACAACTCAAGGGTCATATCAGTAGGAATGCAAACAATGAACAAAACACCCGTGATATACAGGATTTCACACTGAGTCATCAATATTGGAACTTGTAACCCGAAGCAGAAGTGTTCGCCCCTTCAACTGACTCATCCGGGAAAAAAATAGACACTTACAGAAGTTTGCTAGAAAAGGACTAACACAAGTCATCGGCCTTTTTTCCTTACTACACACATCTGTATCTTGTTAGTATGAGTTCAAAATATTTGTGTTACAACCAACCTTAGCTACGCGGGGTTTTGATTTTGTTTGTTGTTCGTGACCTATGGTATGTTTAGATTTTCATCCGAATAGCAACTTGTAGGAAGATCCATCATTACAAATCCATTTTAAAGGACACAAAGACTCCATCACATGTGTCGACTTCAACCCAACTGGAAAGCAGCTAGGTAAAGTCCGTTTCGTTTAGTGCTCATTATTAGCTTCTTGCTCTATGGATGCATGTTTAATGATTTGGAACATTAAGCCACAGACGCGAGCATATAAGTTTAGTAGCCACAAAGACGCTATATTCTGCGTTCGATTCTCACCGACTGGTGAACTTATAGTAACTGCTTCTAGGGATAAGACAGTAAAATTATGGATTCCGAGCATGTAAAATAAGACGTTTTAAAGTAATAGAATTTAGAAAAGGAGAGTCCATTACCTTTCGCGCCCATACTGCAGCAGTTCGGTGGGTTGATGTGTCCGCTGATGACTCAAGGATGTGTACAGCTTCATCAGACAAGTCGGTAAAAGTAGGTCCATAAATTTTTTTTTAATATATAGGTTTGGAGTTTACATAGACAAAAGTTCTTGTTCTCTTTAAACCAACATGTGAATTGGGTGAGGTGCTGTCGGTAGGTCACGGCCCATCTTATTTAGCCAGTTTTTCACCTGACTCACGCCTTATCATATCTTCATCAGATGATAAAACTATTAAGTTATGGGACACTGAAACGCAAGGTTGTGTACATACCTTCCAAGAAGCTGGTGGCTTTGCTTCACATCTGGACTTTCACCCAAATGGGAACTGCTTTGCATCGGGAAGTACGAATTGCACAGTTAAGCTTTGGGACTTAAGGATGAACCGTCTACTTCAACATTATGATGGTAAGTAGCTTTTCATCTTACCAAACTCTTTAACCAGGTTAGCGAAATCTCTGGATGTTAGAGAAACTGTTGTAAAATTTTCTTTACCATAGTTCTTGTCATGTGATAGTTTCACTAAGGCTACCTTCAAAATATCTTAGTGTGGGAATAAAGTACGATTAACAGTGGGTGAACAACAACTTTCTCAAGACTCCTCTTCGTTAAAAGTTCTGAAAATTGTTAGCTCGCTTCCTCACCGAACAGCACATTGGCATATGCTCGCTAAGTTGACGAGGAAGTCGAAGTAAAATGTAGATTTATGAGGGTAAAATATGTTGGGGGAGTGGATTGGAGGTAAAGATACCCGGCTCTTAACCATAAGGCTGTACACTGAAACTCTGCTTCATCTTATATATCTGGACAAAATCACTAATTCTCACAAAAATTATTACACAAAGCTGTATACGTGCTTCTTTGAACCCGGCGTTCATCTTGTTGTGCTAATGAGGTATGGCAACTTGGACCGATGCACATATGTGCCTGGTCCTACATTGTAGCTGACTGATGTGCTCCTGTATCTAATACATAAATTACACTAATTGATTAAATAATTGAGGAAGAATTACACATAGAAAAGTTTGTGACGCAAATATGTAATATCTTGGTCATTAGTCCTTTATGTAATATTTCTCATATTTGTTTCATTCTAATTTGTTTGCTTTTGGATTTACTTTATGCGGATTTCATATGATTTTAGATCATACCGGTCCAGTACATAAAGTTGCTTGTCATCCCAATGGTCATGTTCTGCTCTCTGCATCTGAAGACTCAACACTGAAAATATTTGACCTCCTTGAGGGTCGTCCACTTTTTACACTTCAGGGACATCAGGGACCTATTACTGCAGCAGCATTTTCTGCGTCCGGTGATCATTTTGCATCTGGTGGGAGTGATGAACAGGTAAGCCGTAGATTAAAAAATCATACTAACTTTGCTACCATACTTAAATTTATCCAGTATCTGTTAGACATTCATTTGTTTTCTTGACAATCAGTTTTTAAAGGAAGCAAATGGAAATACGTTAGTAGGAATTTATTTGTTACATGTTTTTCCGATCAATGAAGCCTCTGCTATTGAAGTGGTATTCAAAAACGTATGTAACACAATCACACCATTCTTTTTTATGCTTCATACTGTTTTGTGGTAGTCTTTTTGCAGTTGGTACTCTCTCTACTTATGATTTAAATAGCGCTTAGTTAACTGTAATTTAAAAACTTTTCACGACTTCATATCAGCTTAGGATCCTGCAAACGATTTTTAAAATTTATTTCAGGTGTTTTTATGGCGCACGAATGGGTGTGCTAGAATGACTACTAATATTCCAGACAACAGTTCACATCCAATTCACACAACTTCTAATCCTGATGGTTCCATATCTCGGGACAAATCTATTCAAATTAATAGTCATCTAATATGTCCTAAATCTGATCCTCAAGTAACGTCAAGTGAAGTGCATGAAAAAGCGGAAAAACCATCATTCGCTACGTCTGAAGCTGCTGTCGACTTTCATGAAACTACTAACAGTGGAGCACAGAACCCGACTACTTCCGTTAAGTGTCATTTTCCGCCTGATTTCCGTACCCACTCTGGTGTTATCTCATCAATGACTTTACCATTAACGTCAAATATGAATTTTCTACAAGCTGTAAGTTCATTTTCCAAAATTAATCTTTTATTAGCAAATGTTTCTGATCTCTGTTCACTGCAATAAAGTCATGAGTAATTCGCCCGAGTTTCATCTCTACTTGGCTAGAAAAAAGATGGTTCATAATTAAACTGCGTTTACTTCGATAAAGCAAATTTTATCCAAACGATCCCAAAAAACTTTGACTACTGAATTAATTCATTTCGTGTAGTTTGATGATCGAGACCCACGTAATAAACTTTAGTTTACTAGGTAAATGTATGGATAAAACTAGTTTGCATCAGTATTTATTGTCGTTTTCATTATTTACTATATCAAGACGATTGTTCCGAAGTTTACTGCAGTTTGGTTTTTCTTACGTATCAAGAAACCAGTGATAAATAACAATCATATCTATTATACCTGAACGCGTAATAAATGAATGGTAACTACCAGGGATTATTTATGGACTATTATTACATATTTTCTTATTGCATGATTACTGAATAACTAGATTATATATATCCATATTCTTTTTATCATAAGCTTTCATTTTACCCATTGGCTGTTATACAATTGACCATTCTTAATTTATCCCCAACCAGTTAGTTAGTTTATCCGTTTATTTATTTGAATAAAAACTTTGGTACAAGAGGGCACCAAATACGTATGCTCACACAATAACAATAAGGTTGTGAAGAGATAGAGAATGTAAAGTGCGTATGATGAGAACAACAACCAACAGAAATCAGTGTTTGAGAGAATAATAATAATAATAATAGGAGAAGCAGTTCAGTTGGGAAAAACACGACCCGAAAGAAGTTATGTTTACTTTTATAAAGTAAAATAAAGTGAGAACAGGATCGCTACTGTCTTCTATTCTAAGCCATGTCTGATGAGGTCTCTAGCCAATGTGCTACACCACCTCTAGGACCCCAACCAAGGAGTCGTGAAGGACCAACAGAGGCCTGTCCTATACAGTTTTCTTTCATACCACGATAACATGTCCGACACTGACCATCTCTCTACTCTTCCCAGCCGGTCCCAGCGTTTGCAAACAATACACGACGTGCAATTCTATGGGACGACATTTGTAGTACGGGTCCAAGCCGCGGAAGTCGATATTTCAAGATGGTGACATCAGCTGAATTATCGTTGCTGTGCACGAATACACGGTGCCGAACCTGTGCATTACTAACATGGTGTTGCCACTGGATGTCAGCAATCCTTTAGAAACAACGGTGACCTAACACAGAAAGTCGTTCAACATCGTCAACTCGAAGAGGTCAGGTTTTAAAAGAATAGAGCAGAACTGTTCTCGCCGATGCGTTGTATATTGGACCTTTTACAGCCAGGCTAACATCACAAAGGCGCCAAAGATAGCCCAGATTAGCATAAGCTTCCTTGGGTTTCCCTATGCGTGAATTGATCTAATCTCTCACTTCGGAACAAGCTGGCTGATAGCCTTTTTATTGGAAGTAGTTGAGTGCATAATTTGTAAGTCAATTTCACAACACGATTCAAGATGTTCGTAATCATCTAAACACTACTTTCAGTGAGAAATAATTATACCAGTGATTTATTATTCAATAACCAATAGTTATTCAAGAATATGCTTCAAGTAAGTAATGCTACACCTGGAAAGTATAGATCAAATCATGTATTATGTTGCTGCACTTTTACATCTGGAGAAGTCTATACGGCTATTTTTCGTCTTTTAAAAATCAGCAAATATAAGCAGTTAGTAATTTAATTAAGAAAGTCGCAAAAATTAGGACATAATGTGTTGTGCTTGTTATCATGAACTCTGATGCTAAGTAGTTATTCTTCAACACCCAGGAAACTATTTCAAACGACTATCAGAAAAATATTGAAGAAATCAAAGGATACATCATAATTATCGTTCAGTAAAGAGAAGCTAAGTGGATATGTTTATCGTTATCATCTTAATTTTTTTCCATTTTTTAAACAATAATTTCATATGATTTCCGTGCATCACTAAGCTTGTTTAAATACTGTTGTTGGTTTTGTTAGTGATAGTATTCAACAATACAGTGACTACTTGCCTCTCATTATAATTAAATCTTGATTTTTAACATAATCTGAACATTAATAATTATTTAAACCACAGCTTATAAACTACGAAGTAAGTTGTAACGTATCACTTTTCCATTTGTATACAGAATTCGAAAACAGCAAGTGGTCTAGAAAGTGAACGCCAAAATGTCCCACCACCACTATCTACAACACTTGAACATATTGTTTCACAACTAGATATTTTAACTCAGGTACTATCAATTTTACATGGTGATTTTAATAAACTCTTGTTTTTCAGTCTAAAGTATTGTTCAGTAAGCGATACTGATTTGTATGTCGTTGCTATTCCATGATTTTGAGGAGGAGAACCATTTACCTATAAAACTAAGGGGTTTTCATGCTAAGGATTGTACGCTCTACATACTTTACTTTATATAACTAAATTCCCAAATACTTTTTCCTAACAATTAAAAATCTGGTAAATCTAGATAGCTGTATGAGTGTTACCGGGTGCATGACTGAGAAAGGTCCTATCAGTATAGCAAAAACCAGATTGGTTAGCGCCTATCTTACGCACCTTACCTTGCTAAATGTCAGGTATGTACTGCTTAAGTGGGAGGAGTTTCATCCTGCACTTATGACTTAGTTTATTGAGGATAGTACTTAACCACTCACTGTATTTTTTTTTCAGAATTGTTATCGTATGTTACAATTTACTCAGAGGATGCTTTATTTGAGTACTAATCCAAACTTACTTTTATAAAAGATGTAGTAAAAAACTAAAGCAGGATTATCACTGACTTCTGTTTTGAACAATATATGATAACATCTCAAACCATTGAGTTGCACGATCTGTAGGATCACAAACCAAAAATCGTGGTGGACCAACAGGTATCAGTTCTGCGTGCCACCTTCCATACTACAGTGACATGTCATAAACTGACTACCTCTCTTCCGTTCCACCTAGTTTTAGCATCTGCGAATAATGCGTAATGTGAAAGCTACTGTAGTGAGATTCACAAAATATTTCAAACCCACTTGTTGAGGATATGCAATCCTCAAATAAAGCTTTTGCGAAAGGCAACCAATATCGATGATTTTCGTTATAGCAAATTATTTTGTGTGAAATTGGCTTATGTATTTTTAACAAATCTTAGTATTTTTTGTTTACTGACAAGTACTCAGTCCATAATTTCTAATCACCGTAATTGATGTGTAGTCGATTAACTAAAATACATTTCCGATTGATACACTGAGGTCACCGATGTGCGTCACAACCATAAGGTAGTTGTAATGGTAAGTATAAGTAATTGGGTTGACCATTTATAAGGTTTTGTTGAATCCTTAACTTTCTTACTTACGCCTATTACTCCTCATGGAGGAGCATAGACCGCTCACCAGCATTCTCCATCCAACTCTGTTGTGGGCAATCCTTTACACTTGTTTCCAGTTTCTATTCATTCTTCTGATGTCTGCTTCCGATTCCCTGCTCAATGTGTTCCTTGGTCTTCCTCTTTTCCTGTTCCCTTCAGGATTCCAAGTTAGCGCTCGCCTTGTGATGCAATTCGGTGATTTTCGCAATGTATGTCCTATCGACTCGAGACTTCTTTTCCTAATTTCCTCCTCATCTGGAGGTTGGCTTTTTGTCTGTTATAGTAGGCTGTTGCTAATGGTATCCGGTCAATGGACATTGAGTATCTTGCTTAGACAATTGTGTATAAATACTTGTACCGTTTTGATGGTGGTTGTAGTAGTATTCCATGTTTCAGTTCCATACAGTAGAACTGTCTTGGCGTTCGTATTAAAGATTCTGACTGTGATATTGGTTGACAGTTTTGAATTTCATATGTTCTTCAACTGTAGGAATTCCGTTCTTTGAACCCTTAAGCTATTTCATTATTGCCTAAATAAACCGTTAATATATATCATGAAATATAAGACCTATAATGTAGTGGTTTTATGAACACGTTAATAACAGATTTTCCGACTTATTACTCCTCACCAACTAATAATTTGCTTTCCAACGATTTCTTTTGTTACTTGTAGCTAACACCCTACATGTTGACTTATATGAAAGTACCTAATGTGTGGATGTTTTTGTTTTGGAAAACTAATATTCATTCATGCTAGGTTTGAAGCTATTACGAGTTCACTTGTTATGCGAACGGAACAAAGACTTGTGACCGTTGAACAATAAGTTAGCTATTGATGCGTCCCAGCCCCGCTAACCAGAGGAAGAAGTCCAAGCATGAAGCTGGAAAGTATATTCTGTAAGCCAGAAGAACGAGTGAATAATAACAGACACAAATCAAACGTATATATATATATATATACAGCATAAAACTGTCCTTGGGAAGCGTTGCAAAAATAGCCTACTAAAAATACACAACGGACCAATAGCGCTAAAGATTCTCCCTAGTGGGAAATACGACATAAAGGTGAAAAGAGCGCTTTCGGCGCAAAAACAAGAAAAATTAAATTTCCAAAATAAAATTACAAAATTAATGCATTTACCAAGTGAGTTCTGGGGATGTAACATCCCCAACAATTCACATACAACTTGTTGTGATAGATTTCGGTTTGTGAGAAACAACAAGAGTAGAATTGTATCGACCATAACATAATAAAATGTTGGTTATCCGTTATTAATCTAGTGTGTGACTCAGCATTATTGTTAATCGACCGTCTTTGATGTTTATAATTCGAGAAATTTTGAGCTTAGATTGTGCATTTGTGAATACTTATCAATATATTGGACCTGTAAACTCGCAGAAGTCATTGCACTTTAGTCTTTTTACTAATTATTTGTAATTTGATATCTGTTGAATCCTTACTTCATATTTATATTTTACTTATCTGTAAATTTATTACACTGGATTTCTCGGAAAGCATTGTTTATAGTGCATAAATTGTTATCTGAGGCAATGTAAAACCAAAAGCAATATTAGTTTTTTCTTCTTTACTTCTTCATAGACCGTTTCACTTTTGGAACAACGTCTCACTCTTCTGGAGAATAAATGAAAGAATAGAGTTTAAAGTTGTGAACATTGTTCTTCTGCAACTGGGTCATATCTATTAATGTGTCAGCTAATTTTATCATTAATTTTGATGGTATTGTAATGAATAATGGATTTAAATTTGCTTGAAACTGTATATGCAATTATAATTTTTTTGGAGAAACGTCAAACTTTAATTTTTCGTATTTGGAGCTTTACACTGTATATTTTGAATTGAATGTTATTCTTACTTAATTTACGATATCCATTACATATTGTTCATACTTTTATCAATACCGATATCTATGACTATAACATAAGTTTACCTGTTCTTTCCTGTAGATACAATGAAAAATTACAGTCAAATTTTTTTTATTTCTTTAGTTTTCATCGTGAGTTCTCATATGTAGAATGCTTTGGTCTGATAGCCAGGTTTTTTGCACTTCATATTTATTTCCGGTTTTTTTTTAAGAATCACTGCAAAGTAAGCAAATGTTAATGGATTCGAACAAATAAATACTAACCTAAAGATTTTAGCATCAACAATTGTATCTCACACGTTAAAGATCAATCGGTGCTTGATTCTTGCTTCTCAGCTGGTTGATGTCCAAACCATTAATTTAAAAGTTACGGTGTGTAGACTAACCATGACCTAGTCACCATTTACATACGAATACATACATTTTAAAACTAAAGCCAAATAACTGTCCGCTTATTAAGGTTCTTTTTTACATGCAACCGTCGTGTTAATTGGTGATTCTGAAGTATTCCTGTGTATTGTATTGTCATATAATATTAAGCATAGTTCGCTTTGCAAGAAAGGTAATTCAGTTGTGGTGTGCCGAGTACGCTTTTCCTCCTTTTACTTGGGTGGTTTATGGCTTCGTTAAGTTAGACAATTTTTTCAGTTTTGTCCCACAGGTGAATATATAGTTGTTAAACGACGAATATTAGTTGCTTTCTACTAAATTTGCATATCCGTGACAATTAAGTAGTGGATGTAACACTTTTCTCAATATTGCCCCCACCATTGTTCACAGAAGCTTTCATCAAACCTGGGATAAAAAACATTGTTCAGCTAAATACAGGTCATAGAAATGTCATTCTTTCGTAACAGACTTGGAACTCACATTTTTTAGATTAATTTCGTATGTTTACCACTAACTTCTTAAACTATGAACTATTCACTAGTTCTCATTGCTTTTTTTAGTTAAGCTTCTGTACTATTTGGAAAAGTAGTACTGTTAGGTGATAGTTTTCAAGTAGTTTTATTTATTTGGCTATTTCAGTTTCATTCTAGATAGTGATTAATCCATTTATAATTGGTTAAAAAGTGTTATATTCTTTTAATATACGTATAAAAATTTATGAGCTCTGAAAATAAGATGATATCTGTTTAGGTTATGATTGTAAATATCTTAATATCTGATCACTATCTTGTCTTGCAATATTCATTTTTAATAAAGTTTATTTTGTTCCGAAGAAACTTATATTAATTGAAATTAGGAAAAGTATAAGGCTTTTCAAATGACTGGCGTTGGTAGAAATAACGAGAATGTTTTAGGTACGTCATTTATGAATTCAAGGAAGTTGAAATACCGTGTCATATTCGTATTGTTCTAAACCATGCGACAACAGAAAGTGAGTGTTACTCTGTAGCCAGAGGTTTAAGAATGTTATTAAAGAAATGCTGCTCAATATCTTCTATTTAATATCCTAGTAATTACTACTGGACGTGTTTAGAACTTTTCCTACATTAGCTATACTTCTTCCTTAGTAAGTGTGGAACTTGACAATACTAGGATACTTCTCATCCAATTCCTCGTAACCCTGCAACCTAAATTCCACTCTTTAAGGTCTTTTTACTTTTATTTGGGACTCCACATAACATCTGTTACTTTGACTGAGATAAACATTTTTCATTACCTAGTAACTACTTGTGTAGTGTGAGCTACTTATATCCACGCAAGTAGTATATAACAGTAGTCAGGAATAGAATATATTTCAGTAGAATATCAAGAGGGAAAGAACGGGAACGAAGGCAATTAGTATGAAAATGCACGAACAATGAAACCTGAGACGATGGACTGATATTTGCAAAAGAATTAGTCGAGTTCGAGACGATGGATTGATATTTTGCAAATTAATTTTAGTGAAATGATCTGTACTTTCGTGCTTAAATGCACTCGATTTCCCCCACTCATGTTCTTGTTCACCACACTTGTAGCTTTGTACGTAGAATGAGAGTTTAAATTATATGATCACGTTTTTCTGTCTACATAAATCCAACTTTCACGGGGAGGGGTGTCTCTTAAAGCAAACTCAGAGAATTCCGTCTATTTATTTTCAAAAACCTACTGCCGTTGCAGAAATACTTAAAAGAAAACGTATTACGTTTTCACAAGTAAATTTAAAACACCTAAGTACTGGTCTGAGAAACAATAATCTCTTTTTATAGCTGTTGAGTTTATGGTTTGATGCTTTTTGTAAAAAAAGAAGATAGGAATAACGTAAAGGTATAATAAGTTAGTAAATAAATTTAGGCAGTCAAATATATTCTACTGCTGAATAAGAAGAAGACGACAAGTTTGATGAATCTAACGGTCTTACTCCTGGTTATTAAGATGTTTTATTTCCTGAAGCACATAACTTTGTTTTTATGGTTCGTCATTATTTATAAGAGCAGTCGTAAAAAATACGAAAATAAAATCAATATTGGGTATAACGAATTATTTTTTTCTATAACATGACGAAATTTATTTTCAATAAATGTATTTCATCCAATCAAAACAATAACAATTTCAACATACATTTCATTTTACAGAGTATTTTAAAATGAATATTACTAACCAAATATTTCATTAACACACTGAACTATTTAAATGTAAATGAATAAACATAGAATCTTGTGTAGAAACTGGAAAATGTTAATTGGATATATTTTTTTTGAATAATCAGTATTAACATCAACGTCCTGAAGGGATTGTTTTGAATTTTATAATATATAAATTCTAACAATCACAACATACATCTCGAGTTTAAATCTTTCTTTTTTTCTTCGAATATCTGTAAACATTACAATCACGTAAACATTTTAAAGTGAATTATCAACTCTGAAGGAATGAAGTGTACAATTGTCTTTAATTCAACTGAAATACCAAACTATGATAATGCAATAAAATTCTCAAATTTATTATTATTATTATTTTTAATTGATGTGAAGATATAACTTGTCTCCATCGTTACTTATCATATTAATTTCTGATTATTGTATGATTTCACTGCTTTTTTTTCAATCATTAAAGTTAATAAACTATATATGTGAGAATGGATCATGTGATTTAAGTTTAGGTATTGTTAATTTATTTGTTAAATCTTCAACTAATTCTTCAATTTCTTTTTCAAACATTCTAAACATTAATATTTCAATAGATGTATTATCTGTTTTTAAATAGAATACTTTTTTTGTACTATGTTCAGTTATACCAGCTTCATCTAATAATTTTTTAGACATAATAAATCCAGGTTTACGAAAATTTTCTAATCCACATTTTTTTAATTCATTTTCAGCATTCATTTCTAAATCATTTAATCGTTCATTGATATATAATTCAAATTTACTTTGTTGTGAATCATATTCAATTAGAAATGCTTCAATAATAAAAGCTAATACAACATTTAATACAAGTAATACACATATCCAATGAATTATAATAAAAAATAATTTACTCCATCTTGTTGTAACGATTACATAACCATCAGTAAATATATGCCAATTATTACCAACTGTAATAATGAATAATAATAAGAATGAATCTAATGGACTATTAAAATTAAATGTACAATAATGCCATTTAACAAATTCACTATTCAGTAAATATTTATTATTACAAGTTGTATTTAATGTATAATTATAATTTAATGGTGGTTGATAAACAAATGCAAATAATTCCATAGCAATACATGAAAATATATAAAATAATATTAATAATATAGTTGTATAAGCAGTTAATGATGGTAGAATAATTAAAATACAATTAATCACTATACGAAATTGTTTTATTACACTAAATAATTTTAATAAACGAAATAATCTTAATAATAAAAATATTTGTATAAATTCATGTGATAAATAAATATTAATTGAATAGAATATAAATTGAATTATTTGTCCAATTAATGCACTAAATATAATAATAAAATCAAATAAATTCCAACCATCATTAAAAAATTTAACACCACCACATATTAAATAATTAATAATTAATTCAATTATAAATATTATTGTAAATATCCATTCAATGAATTCTAATAATTTTGGATTTGAATGATACATAACAACACATATTGCATTCATTATAATGAATATAATAAATATTAATTTAGTAATATTATGATTCATATAATAAATAAATAATTGAAATTTCGATGATGTATAAATAGAATAAAATTTTGAAATATATGCATTAAAATAGAAACGATTGAATTCAATCATTTCAAATTTTAATTGCATATATTCTGTTAAACGTTCAAATTCATGTTTTAATAAATAACCAGATTTATTTTTATTTAATAAATAAAAAATTATTTTTAATGAATCTTTATTATAATTTGGTTTAACAATATGCATTAATTGTAAAAATATATTTTGATGAATACCTAATTGTTTATTTGAAGTTATAATTGATATTAAATGAAATGCTTCATCTAATTTTTTTTTACGTTTTATAATTGTTTTTAATACAAATTCACCTAAATGTGATTTATATGAATTATATATAGATGCTGTTAATATACCCATAAATAACCAATTACATATTGTACAAATAAATAAATAAATCATTATAAAATAATGATTATATTCATATGCTGGTAATATAATATCAGGTGAATTAGCTGTTGTTGTTAAAACATAAAATTCCCATAATACATCAATAAAATCATATAGATATTTATTACCATTAGGATATGTTAATTTCATATCACTTAATAATGTTAAACTAACAATTGAAATAAATATTAAACATGCACCAAATAAACCAAATACAGGTAATACATCAATCAATGTACGTCGTAAATTAAAAAATGCTGCACGTAATCTTCTATTCTCTGGAAATGTTAATAATAATATCGGTCTAAGAGCTCTTGACCATCTTATAGAATTAGAAAAATTTAATTCATGACATATTATATAAATTATAGCATCAATTGTCATTAGTAATAATATAATAATTGTTGCAATGAATGAAATATTTGATTTTAATGATTTCTTTTCTGATATAACATAAATAATATACCATCTATAATAAAAATAGCATTCACATAATAAATTAATGATTAATGGAATATAATATGGTAAAGGTTTTCCATTTATCCATATATTTCCTGGATATTCTAATATGATTGTTAAAAGATTAATTAGAGTTAATATATAGTATAGTATAACATATGATTTACTA